TCTAATAATTGTATGTATACAACCTATCCAGCTTTTAGTAGAAATACAATGTGAAAACATTCCCATTGACTTTTATTTCTGTTTGTACAGGATTTCCTATTTTTTCAACTAAATGTTCCCCTTTTCAAAGCAGTCCTTCTGCAGCAGCTGTTTCAATGACTCCAAGTTTTAGAAAAATAGTTCTTTCCTTTATGCCAACTGTTCTGTGTTTCTGTCATGTCTTCTTCAGAGGCAGTGTTCTGCTCTCCCAGATGCTTCATCTCCCTCCCTCTCCTAGCTCTACAGTTCAGCAGCTACAGCGCTGCTGAGATAGGAAAAAAAAATAGCAGTTGATAGAAAAGCACAAGCAAAACAAGCAACTTTAACATCAGGTGTGGAGAGAAAAAAAATCAACAGGCAAAAGTGAATAGGCAAAAAAGGGAACAGGTTCACACATATAACTTTTGTGAACCAGAATGTGACATGAATCACAGAGCTTCACACTAAACGCAAACACAGTTTCTATGAGTACATAGTTTCTAATCCTGTAATAAAACTCAGGTCCAAATAGCTACTGTGGAAAGACAGGTATTTAAACCATCTCCTTCCCACACCCCCCAAGAATTTCTCTCTTCTGTGCTTCTTCTGTCATCTGATTGTAAATCATATATCCTGTTGCTTAAACTATTATGCCCTATTGCTTACCCTCCAGGAACCTTCCATTTCAAATCCATTAGGAAGATCCTACATCAGCTGTGCTACGCTCTAGCACAAACGATAGCAATCCCCTTTAAGCATCTATGATTCCCCTTGACCCAACTGATGCCAAAAGTGGTGGCATAGGTGAAATCAGAGGCATAATCTGGAGATGATAACAACACACTCTCTCTGCAGGACCACCTCTCAAAGACCCAACAGGCTGAGAGATTTCATGGGATGATAGTAGCCGTGTCACAGAAGGGTGAGGTGCTTTAATTAGGCCAGAATTTGGCTGCCAAATAAGGTGCTTTCCAACCATAAGGCAACTGTTTTAAGCAGCAAATTCTGCATTTGAATATACTGAATATATTCATATGGGGAAAAATATATTTTTTCTATATTCCAGGTCAGGTCTGGTTCAACCCAGTGTTGAATGGAACTTTGGTGTTCCAATCATCCAATCAGAAGTTTGTGTTTTAGTGGTGTTGTGCTGTGTTTCAGTTGGTGTTTTAATCAGAAGTTGTTGCTTCTTTTAAAAGACTCAATATTCAGTTGTAGCCAAGAAATTATGCAAGATCCAGCTGGAAACTCAGCTACGTGTCCCTTGGCCAAAAGGGCCAAGCACCAACTTCCTTAGCAGGAACCTGTTACATGGGCTACTATGGTTAGAGACGGACACATACCACAAAGGTCCGTGCCTCCAAAATTCCTGCCGTGCTTTTTCAGTGTCCATTACTCTGGGCCAAGTGGAAAAAAATACTTCATTTACTGAGTAATCCAAATTTCAAGAAATTGAATTCTTCCGTATATATATACATACATATATATATAAAGAACTAAGACAAGCCAGACGAAAAAATTGAGACCATTCTTGTCAACTAAAAAATATGACTATTAAACTTATTATCAAGAAAAACATCCGTTGAGATGTATGTTACAGTACACAAGACTAACAGCTACATAGCAGATCTGCGATTAAAAAACAAAAAACTTTACCCACAGATGACCACAGTGCATGTATATAGTGAATACCAGGATCATGTTTTCTGCCTTAACTGAAGCTGGTAAATGGTTTTCCTTAGCACATGAAATAGATTTGCTGTTATCAAAGGGGAGGCCAACAACACACCCAGGTAAAGCCACTGTACACAGAAGTTAAATACATACATAAAATGACACTGTTGTGCCAAGTTACAGACTGGCTACAGCAAAACAGCTTGCAACGACTTTGAGGTTCCACAGAACACCAATAAAAAAGTATTTTTTTATTATTTTTTCAACTATGTTTCCACAATTTCCCTAGTTGGCAGTTGGCAACTACTTTTACCCGCTTTTGAAACTTGGATCCAAGTGTTCAGAAAAAAAAACAACAACAATAAATAACTTTTCAGCCGCAGAACCCGTGTCACCCCAGGACGCCTTGGTTGCTGGTGCAGCCTCAGGCTGCCCCGGCCGCTCACAGAGGAGACGCCTCCAAACGTCTCCCGCACGCAGCAAGCCCGGGCGCTGCGAAGGCGCAGGGAAACCCTCCAAAGAAACGGCGCACGGGCCTGCCCCACTCCAATACACTTCCCGCTTGCGGCCTTGCTACGGGAGG